TTTCTTCCCCAAAAATGTTCTCCCTTCACTTCCTTTTGTGCTCTCTAACAATGCTCTGTCTTTTGCTTCCGTCTCCACTTTCTGCCCCTACCCGCTCACTTCCTTTTCCCCCTCCTCTGAGTTCGTGACTCTTTCTGCAGCCTTTCTACTGCTACTTCTTGGCTCCTTCTTACTGCTATCTTTCTGTCACACCCCTGATATTAGGGTAGGTAAGATCTAATACCTAGCCTTCTCGGATATAAGCGAAAAGTCTCGGGGGTTTCGTGTACAAGTTGCGCACGTTAGAGATCCCTTGGTAGTTCAAAATCATTAAGACTAGGCTTCGGCCGCCACCCGAGTGAAATTCAAAATTTCCTACCAACTGAAAATGCATAATGTGGTCTGTGCGCTCATATGACCTTATGCAGTTGCGATCGCCGTATACCATTTACCATAAAAAGAAAAAGAACCCGGGACCTATTGAATAAGAGGCCAACACCGTAACTTCGAGACCACGAGAGCCCGCAATAGGCTCTTTGTCGTCGTATGTAGAAGACGTGAATTCGATCCTCGTGGGGAGAAGGTTTTGTTGTTGTTGTAGTAGTTGTTGTTGTTGTTGTTGTTGTTGTTGTTGTTGTTGTTGTTGTTGTTGTTGTTGTTTTGCTGTTGTTTAATTTGTTGTTGTTTTTGTTTGTTTTTAATCGAGTATCGCTTCCTTTCCACTAGAATATTTATTGTATTCGACACTCCACACAGATAGTATGGAAATAGCCAGAATCTTAAATATCTAAACTGTGTCGATAGAGGTGTAAAACATCGACGATTACAACACAATGTATTTTTTCTAGTTTGCAGTCTTGCTGACAGTTGGTATCATCGGGAATAGTAGCATCATGGCACTCTCTATCATTACCTTTGATGTCCAAGAGGTAGGGTGTACATGTGATATAGTGTTGCTGTTCTTATTGTTGCTATTGTTGTTGTCGTTCTTGATGTTCTTTTTGGTTTGTTTGTTTTTTTATCGTGTAAATTTGTACGTTTCTTTAGTTTGCTTGTAATGCATTAATGGTCCCTCATCTATTGGCGCTACTCTATCTGCTTTTCTCTCGCTGTTAATGTTGGTGGCGGTGATGATTTTGCTTTGCTTTTTTTTCTTTTTTTTTTTTTGAAAGCTTAACGCCGTGTTGCTCTTATTTCTATATACACAACGCTTTTAATTTGTTCTTAAGATTGGGGCAAAGAAGTGGGGGGGGGGGGGGGGGTACTAACGCTTATACGTCCACAAGGAAAAAAAACAATTTCGTTGGGAAAAGCGGTAAATGGAAGGCTGTAGATAGTTGTAAAGTGCTACTGGTAGATGGTTCCTAGTTGTTTGCTTTTCCCCTTCGCCAGGTACTTGATATAGTGTTGGTGTCTCTCTATCGTTCTAAGACTACAGACAGAAGCGAATGTCTTGTCTCTTAAATTTATTTTTTTTACCCAACACATATTGGCTGTCATCTCGTCAGTATGCCTCTTTGCACTCGAACTAATCAAATGAAAAACCTTTACGAACGGCTGGCCTTTTCAGGTCCACAATGATTTCAAAGTTGTTTTGGGGGTTCTATTTTTTTTTTCAGGGAGGGGGGGGAGAGTGCTGTTGTTTGTTTAATGTTATGAGTGTTTTACGCCCCCATCAATACAATTTAGATCAATTTAGAGGCGGGCTTCAACTCTGTGTATCAGGACCAAGCCGCATTGAGACCGAGAAACTCAATAGAAATTCTCCTTTCTTTGGAATCGAACTTAGGTCTACTGCATGCGATAGCGGAGCGCCTACCCGCCACCTATACTATAGACACCAGTTTCCGTACTCTTAACACTGTTTCTACATCCACGTCCTAATGGGCATTTGCATCAATATTGCTATTCCTTGGTTCCTTCTTACTGACGTATTTCACCCACTTCCCTGATCTTAGGATAAATAACATCTGACTCCTTGCCTTTTTAAATAGGGGCGAAAAATCTCGAGGGCCCCGTTTGCAAGTTGCACACGTTGAAGATCCCTTTGTGGTCCAGAATCGATAAGAGTAGACTTCCACTGCCACCAGGGCAAAATTTAAAAAATTTTCCTACCTAATTAAAAATAATTAACATGTCCCACGCCCTCACATGGCCTTATGCAGTTGCAAATGCCGCAAAACACTTACCAAAAAAAAATGTAAAAAACCTGCATCACCATGGCGCCAATCGCTTTCAGATATGTACATGTATTTGATTCACGTATGAGCAGGGATTTTCTTTTTCCCCATTGAGTATCGCCATCTGTCTGCAAGGACGCTGTACCCTTCTCAGCCTGGGTTTGCCCTGACCGGCGTGGTCGAGCAGGCCAACCTCCTGTTTGAACTATCCAACTTTAAAAATCAAAGTCAATCGCTGATTGTTTTTCCTATGGGGCGCACCGTTAGTTTAGGTGACATCATGCCGGACTACAGAGTGGGCGGCCCTGTTTCGAATCCCCGACTAGGTATTCTTAAACTTTAATAAATATTGTTGCGTTTTAAAGGCGTCCGCCTATTTGGCTCGGTCCTGTCGGAAATGGACGTTAAATCCGGAGGTCCCGGCCCGTTAAATTATAACCTTATAGTGTTAAAAGGGGCTCTAGATCCAGACACTTACTTTTACTTCTCAGGCCAGGCTGGCTCTGGCATGCAAAATCGAGTCAGCAGACTTTTTATGATCTGCACCTTAAATTGTGGTTATTTGTCGGGAGCTCTTCAGGTGTGGTTTTCTCCTTCTGTCCTACCAAACATCTTTTTTCCTTATCTCTCCTTCTTTTCTTTATACAATGAAACTTGGATATAACAGGACAGACGGGACCGGCAGTTTTTCCCTGTTATAAGCGAGTCCTGTTATAACCGTTATCAGTGGACCATTTCACCTTGAGTTTGCTATATATGTATATGGAATCGATCAATGACCCCAACACTATTAGGAGGGGGGGGGGGTATATTTTTGAAAGTTTGTATCTAGACAAGCGATCATACTCGTAAAACAGGCACAATGTCTTGGTTGAGACAAATTTTAATAATCCGACGGATCGAAAGCAAGTTCACGCGCAGCAAGATCACTGCTATATCCGAGTCGGCGCAAATTGAACCCTGGTATAGCCAGGTTCATATTATTTACACTTATCGAGAGACAGAAAAATGGGATTTGATTTATCACTGTTATAGCTGTTATAAAATGGACTGGACTGTATTATGTTACTCTCTTGTAACACTGCTAGCATTTGGCACTTATATGACTGAAGTGCGTTGTAAGTATGGTAAAACGTTTATACTAAAAATGAAATTTTAAAAAACCCAAAAAAACACAGCAAAATCTCAACACTAAAAATGGATGGGAACCACCAACTTTTCCAGGTCTTGGGAGACGTGAAGTTCCGGCTGAAGGAACAGTACGGCAACGCTGAGAGCATTAAGAAAGGTCACCTGTTACATGAACTGTACGAATTCCAGGCTGAGGTCAGGGAGGCCACCGGACTCTGTTGTTTCATCAGTTTGTTCACGGTTTGGGTTTGATTGGGGTTTTGCTATTTGTTTGTTGTTGTTTTTTGTTTTGTTTTTTTGTTTTTTTTTTTCTTGCTTTGGGGATTTTCTTTTGGCTTTTTTTTGGTGGTTTTTGGTGTGGGTTTTTTTGTGTTGCTTTTTCGTTTTCTGGGAGTGGGGGTGGGGTGTTTGTTGTTTGTTGGGTTTTTATGTGGTGGGGGGAGGGAGGTGTGTTGTTGTTTTGGGTTTTATATTTTTTGTTGTGTTTTTTTTGTTGTTGTTTTGTTTTGTTTTTGTTTGTTTTCAATTAGATTTGTAAATACTCCGATGGTGGTTGGTTGGCAGGTGCTTTGGTGTGGTTTGCTCCTTCTTTCCTATCAAACAGCAATAGTATGTTACTTTTTTGTGACATCTTTAATCTTCGGAAGTTATATAACAAATTTACGCTGCAAGAGCTGTAAAACTCTTACTAAACTTAAGTAAAAGACCCCATCGATACACTTGAGTCATTTAAGACGAAAACTACTACTTTGTCTATAATGTTCAATCCAGACTGAGAAGCAGTCTGCCACCTTATTATAATTCAAATAAGGTCGATAGGGGCTTAAAATGTCTACTGTGGCATACATTTTTTAAAAGAAATATGAGGGGTATGTTTTAGTATCTGTGTGATTTGTCTTTGAATATGGACAATAACAATTAATTATTTAAGTTTATAACAATTAATTCATCTCGACAAAGAGAAATTGGCCAATGCATAGTAAATGCATATTATTACACACACACGCAAGCACGCGCCCACTCAAACGCACATGCACACACGCGCAATCACACACATAAATTTAAAAAAACAACAAATCACACAAACACACAAGCGCACACATACACACATAATCAGACAGCAAGCATGATTCACCGTCTACGCCCCTGTCCCCAAACCTGTTTCCACTTCTTTTTTTTATCTCCAGAAAGGCTGTTGTGGATTAGACGGATACAACGACTATTGGCCGAGCACAACTCAAAACAAACTGGTAAGTTGCAAGCAACGGATCAGAGTGTCTGAAAAAAAAATAATGATTTAAAATCCTCGAGAGTCGGGTTGCACGCAGAAGACGTGAGTTCGATTCCCGTATGGGAAAGTTGTTTTATGGAGTCTGTCTGTCTGTGTCTGTCTGTCTGTCTGTCTGTCTGTCTGTCTGTCTGTCTGTCTGTCTGTCTGTTTGTCTGTCTATCTGTCTGTCTGTCTGTCTGCATCCCACTCAGCCTGGGTTTGCTCGACAGGAAGAGTGGAAGTAGATTCCGGCAGGATGTTATAGTTTCAGAAAATGAATTTTGGTTTATCCTATTTTTCTCAAGTTCCAAGACAGAGTGAGGTGGAGGTCCATGATCGCCCGCGCCAGTCGCCAAGGTACCGGATGATGATGACGCCATTTTTCTCAGTTCATCCATTACAACCGTGTACTTTTCTTCCCTTAAAAAAACATAAGTGAT